ACGGTATTGGTTTGTCTGTGAATCAGTCCCAGTACAATCCATTGAGGCTGGAAGGGTACAGTCTCCTTCCTTCTTCCTTTCAGGTGGCACCAAATGAGAAAGTTCCTGGCTTGTCTCAGGTCAGACTCACTAAAAAGACTGTACTGGAGCTGCTCTGCTTCCTCAACTCCTGCATGGGTGGGGAGGCCGGAGCGGGTCAGTTCAGCCTCCTGAATGCTGCCACCTTTGATGACACTGATGCTGTCAGTTAATGGTATTCCCAAGGCTGCTCTCAGGACCCAGCCACCCTCTCTCCTGCATGGCACAGGCCCTGAGCATAGCCACAGAATGCCTTGGAGGGCAGCACCAGCCCCACATTCCTCCTCAGCCCCAGAACTCAGGGTCCTGGCAAAGACCTGGGGAGTTCCCAGGCCCCTCTGCACAACATTAGCAAGGAGACCCTTGATCAGCAGACAGCTTGAATGGCCTTCAGTCTTCTCCAGAGGCTGCTTCCAGTGTCATATGGATGTCGTCTTCAAGCCAGGCAGTTGTGGTTGCCTTCCCTTCACCCTGACTTTGGAAAAGTGTCGTGCCATGGACTCCGGCACTCCATTCCTTTGGCACATCCAATGAGGCTGTGTCTGGATATGGACTAGCCCATGCCTGTCAAAATGCTGGATGGGAAGCAGAGCAGGAAAGGACACTCGATAACTTCCCTGAGCCTTCAGGCTCCAGAGGAGAAATTACCCCCTTTTTTTTTTTTTTTTTTGCAGAGACAATAAACAAAGGACTGCATTAAAACCTTTGTTTGCAGGAGATCATGAAGATTTCAGAGATACCATACTCCCCTGCAGGAGGAGGGATTAAGAGTGTTACAGAACAGATTTACAAGCCCTGGAGAGAGTAAGTATCCAATGGAAATCTTTGGCAACCTCCTTCCCTTCCTCTTCTGAGTCTCACCCTGGCTTCTGGTAACAGAACAAAACCACCAGCTCTTGCTTATTTTAATGTATTCTCTATTTTGCCCTGAACCCAAATGAAACATCAAAGGTCTGGCTCAAGCACTTGCAAGTAAAAATAGCTCTAAAGCCAATATATTTAAGGCCCTTGTATGATATCTCTGAAATAATTCATCCTAAGCCCATGAGAGGGGAATGGTGTTGTTTGTTGAAGGAATGTGCGTGGTGCTGATAGTGGGCAGTCCTGACATGTAAAGAGCAATGAGTGATACTGCAAAACAGAAGGAAGGTGAGAAAAGGGGCATGAAGACTGCATTACACCGTATGGTGGAAAAAGAGCAAAATATATTTAAGATAAAAGCCAGTTTCAAGATGCCTTTATTTTCTTTCCAATTTGATCCTTCTCTTCTCTTCTTAGAAAATTAGATTTGAATGTGCCTTTCTTGGTACACAGTAGAATGGTGAATCTTGGTACATCCTTGTTACACAGGGGCACAACCCTCTCTCCTCCACAAAGTAATTTGTTTATAATCATCCAGGACTCATTTATTCTCTGTGATGTGCCTGTTTTTGAAGTAAGATAAATCAAGGCTATGAAGGCATCAGGTACATCCCATGTAGTCCCTTTATCTTCATTGTTCTGTATATGAATAAAACACTATGCTTTCTGTTTTCTATTACTATAGACTTCTGTCTTAAATTCCTTGGTTTCATAGGTAAATAATATTTTCTCTTTCCATCTTCTAGTAATAAGACATATGTATCTCTGCAGTCATTAATCCATGCTGCCTTTGCATCCGCACTTTCTCACTGAAACTTGGGCAAGGATGACTTGAGCCATTGTGATGCCCATACCAGCTGGGATTTTCTGGAATAGATCAGTGTAAGTCCTGTCTTCCTCACATCCGATGTTTTTCATCACCGCTTTTTCATCAAATTGTTCCCAAACGCAACATTTCTAATTAGTCATTCTCGGATACGATGGAGGGGTGCCGCAGGGTATTCCACAGACTCCTGCCTGTCCTGGCAGACAATTCATGAAATTACTTTAGTCATGAAGGAGGTTTTCTTCACTACGGTGGCACTCAAAAGAAGTTGGAAAAGTACACTGGATTTTAAGAACACACGTCCTTCAAAGGCTGCTACACAGACAAACCCACTGAAGTGAGAATATCCTTATGGCTCACCAGTGAGGAACATGAACATGGACATACGGAGCAGATGCAGGTTTCAAACCACTGCCTGTGATCAGTGCAGCTGAGAGTCCCATTAGCTGAACCAGAGAAGAGGACAATGATGGGTCAAAAATGGACAAATACAAAAGGAACAAATGCTGGAGGGTGTGAAAAAAACCCAGTCTTATGTCTTGCAACTCTCAAAACCATTCTATTAAAATGAGGGCTTGCTGCAGTTTTTTAAGCAGGATGAACAAGATAAAAAGGGCTTGTTGGTGTTGGATGCTGAGGCAGTGTTTAAGACATCCCTGACTCACAGCCTGCAAGCTGGGACTCGTTTTGCAAGTTCAGTCTCTGTTCAGATAGGATCAGGGAACGTCTCTGGGCTGGATTGCGAAGGAAGCAGTCTTGCCAAATATGCTCTGCCCACAGCACCGTCCAGACCCGTCAGATGATATTTCTCCTAATTTTACTAATGTATGCTTGGCCTCGATTCCACGCTACCTGAGGCTACAGCCGTAATAAAAACACGGCACACATGCTGTGGGTGGGTGCATGCAGCTGGTGGGAGTTGAGGCACGTGAAAATGAAAAACACAACCCTTTCTTAATTGCAGCACAGAAATCAAGAAACAGTGTTGTTCTGGTTCCTTTCGCTCTCCCCCTCTCAGTGGCACACCCTCACCCATAGCCCTGTCAGATGACAGAGAAAGTGACAGCAGGTTTCGTCTGTACATTGGTTGCTCCATATCCTGAGCAATGCTTGGGTTTTCAGGCAGAAGTGGGCTTGTAATGCCACACACAGCTTGTGTTCAGGTGTGGCTCCTATGGTAGGATCATCCCACGTACCCATCTTGTGGGTTACACTGGTGGATGGTGTGTGAGTGATCTAATCCCTACCTGAGGATGAAACCATCAGGCTGCTGTCTTACCACAGCCACGCAGGATGTACACTCTTGGAATGGAGTGAAAGAACCCTGGTCACACATTTGTCTCCTGCCCATGAACTGATTGCATGAACCCTTTTGGTGGAGGTGGGATGGACTGCAGCTCTGGGCCACGTGAAAATCTCAATTAGCACTTCTGTGTTTAGAAAAGTTGGACTTCCTTGGGCCACGAGCATTCCTGAATGTGCAACTTATAACAACATCGCAGCTGCAGAGAAGAAATTAAAACAGAGGCCCAAGAAAAGGCATGGACTTCTTGGGGAAAAGAAAAGCTAGCCCTAGGACCTGTGGGTTTTGTTAGGGAGGGGACATGAGGAACCTGTGGACTTCAGCCAAGAAACAGTGCTGAGTTTGGGATCATGCCCTGTTCCTGGGCCAGGTGTGCTTACTCAGTGGGGGTGTTTGCCCTTGGAGCACACTCCTCCAGCTACCAGTACTGACCCTCACCCTGAAAGGGATGGGTCAGAGAGGAACTCCTTGATGCAACCCTTATTTCTGCTCTCAGCATGTAAACACAGGCACTAGAGGGATACTCCACTGAAGGGCCAGAACATGTTGAGATGCTAATACCATCCTCATCACTGAAATCAGCCAGTTGCTCTTGACCTCCCTGCCTCATCATCCCATTAGCACGTAGTCCTGATAGTTTCAAGCTTCTGACAATAGGTTGAACTCTTGATTGTGAGCTTATAGTGAGCATTGCAGATATCAGGAATATTTTCAGTCTAAAAATTTGCATTCATCACAAGTAGCACAGTGCATTTGTTTTGATTTTCAACAACAGCACTCTATTTAGTGGGAGTATTTTTGGTTGGGTGATGTTTAGCACCTCCACTTGCTGATGCCCAACTCTACAGGATGATATGCAAGTGAGATGATGCAAGAAATAGAAAATGGTCACTTCCTTCTTCCACTTCTTCTGATTCATTTCACACACTTGGTACATTTGTGATTGTTTATTTCACTGGTCTGTTCTACCATTTGTCTTAGATACCTCAAAAACACTTGCCCAAGCAATGTACTGTCACATCAGAAGGAGCCTCTTTTCCTTGCTCTCTCCGGGGGAATCTCCACCCCTCTCTAGGCAAAACACATGAGATGCTAAGCCTTAAAATTTATGGAGTCTGATTTAAAAGCCAGGACGTCTCCTGGTCTCAAGGGAAGGGAAATGACCCTTGGCTTATTTTGCAGTCACTCCTTTTTGGAGAAGGAAGTGCTAATAAGCGCTCACTTGAGGCACAACAGCTTAGTACAAATGAAGGCCAAAAAGCAGACACGTAATTACCGTGACTGGGAACAGAGAAGCCAAGAAGAACACGTGAGAAGTTTCCCTTGTGAGCAGAGCTCTGAGAGAGACACACCAGCAGTCACAGTAATGTCTGAGACAGGAGCTACCAAACATCCAGGACTGCCCCTGGAATCCTGCTTCCCTTCCCAAGGCAGCTCAGCTGGAGCTGGGTGCTGGGGATGGGTCCATGGTTCCAGCATGGAGAGAAGACAGAAAGGAGAGGCAGCACAGGGAAAAGGAAATGCCTAAAAAACATCTCAGACATTGGTAGGAGTTAGACATGGAGACGGTCCATTGCATACCCTGCAGATATGTGACCGCTTGAGCAGTGTGAGAACAGCTCTGAAACCCCATCACACTCACCCAGGGGAAACCTCCTGTGGGATTTCAAAGCACAGCATCCCCAGGCTCTCAGGAGCCCTCCTGGAAGAGCATCAGGCCACTTGCTCCCACTGCACACAGAACCTTCTCCTCAACATGAGCCTTCCCACAACCTCCCTGGTGGGGACACCTCTTTGGCTGTGACACCTCTGAGTTGCCTGCTCCAGTTCCTGCTCCACACACCCCAAAACCGATCATGTTCCAGGCCCCACAGGGCACAACACACAAAGCAAGACGGACCCAGCACAGAAGGGGCCATTAGTTTGTCTTACCTGGCGTGGTAATCACAGACCATCAGATTTCACCTGAGTTCTGCATCTGGTGACTTGGTTAGGCAAAATATCTTGATCCTCTCAAGGCTATAGGGTCTCAGTCAAAAGTCTGGGAATGGAACAGACTGATCCTGCTGTAGTTTGATGCCTCAACAGTGGCAGAGAAGACCTTCAGTGAGCTGTGCCTCCAGAATACCAGGCAGCCAGCAACTCACTGCTGTAGAGGAAGGCAAAATTAATCCAGGTCCTTGCTCTCTGGGTCTGAGGAAAAATACAGTTTTGACCCCCAAACGCTGTATTTACTTTGACTATCAGCAAGTTAGAGCCACGAGTTCGAAAGGGGATGTGGTAACACTGCCTTCATAACTGTTACACCACTTTTCGTGTTGCACTTCCACTTATTGCCCAAGTACACTCCACAGCTCTTCTGGCCACAATTTGCCAGTGTTATACTGAATAAAGGCTTCATCATCATCATGGCTAGGCTTCGCGAACAAAGATTTGAGAGGGGCTCTACCCACGCTTGCTACAAGCGCGCTGATGGCTGAAAAGGCCAATGCGAGACAGACAAGTCCGGTTGCAGAAGGCACAGCAGAAAGACTCTCCAGGTGATATCGACAAGATGCGATTCTTTCTGCTTTGTCTTTTCTCCTCAAGAGTGATCCTGCGTGTGTTCTCAAAAGCAGCAGCGGCGTCTGGAAGCACGGTGGCCAAGCACTCCATGTTAAGTTTCACGAATTTGTGGTGCGCTGCTGGGAATGAGGTGAACTGCCTTCAGACCTTCGTGACGCTGTCATCAGCACCTTGTACAAGAGGAAAGGAGATAAATCAGACTGCCAAGGTATTACTCTGCTCTCCATTGCTGGTAAAATCCTTGCAAGAATTCTTTTGAACAGAATAAAAGCTTAGCGTGATAGTGTATAAAATCCTTACTTGCAACTGTTAATAGTTCCCAGGCAGTGTGTAAAATGAACACAAGTAGTTTCTAAAAGACTGGGTGCACCCAAAACAGGCAACAAATCTAGGAGTCCTAGACAAAAAAAAAAAAATTTTGTTTTTCTCATTTCTATGGCCTTTTCTTGCTGTTTAATACTACAAGGTCTCAAAATGGGATTTGCTGTCATGGATGTATGTAAAAACACATTCCCACCAGATCTCACAGAGATGATGCCCCTCTGTAGTGTCCTCCTCTTACAAGAGTGAGGGAATGGCAGCACCTCAGCCTCTCCTCAGTCATCAGTTCATCAGACAACAGAGGTGATTATCCTGGTGTATTGATAAATTCAATAAAGATGCTAAGGGACCTGAATGCATCCAGAGGAGGATAACAATGCCAGTGAAAAGGATGGAAGGAAGGTACCATGAGGAGCTGAGGACTTTGGGCTTGTCTTTTTTGGAGAGAAGGTGGCTAAGGAGTGACCTCATTGCTCGCTGCAGTTCCTTGAGAAGGGGAAGTGGAGAAAGAGGTGCTGACGTCTTCTCCATGGGACCAAGTGATGGGATGTATGGGAATGGTTCAGAGCTGCTCCAGATTTACGGGTCTGGACCCTCCTGCTTCACTCCAGAAGTTCAGACTTGACAAAACAAAACATTTCTTTACTAAGAGGGTGGTCAAACACTGGAACAGGATTCCACAGACATGGTCGATGTCCCCTGGCCTGTAAGTGTTCAAAGAGGCATTTGTACAATGCCCTTGACAACATGGATTAATTTTGGTCAGCCATGCAGGGGTCAGGCAGTTGAACTGCATGATCATTCTCATTCTCATTCTCATTCTCATTCTATTCTATTCTATTCTATTCTATTCTATTCTATTCTATTCTATTCTATTCTATTCTATTCTATTCTATTCTATTCTATTTCCTTTGCAAGAGACTTTTTCCCTTAGCACTCAGCTGCTGCTCGTCTTCCACACATGCCACAAAGTCCAGCTTCTCTGAGGACAGGTTGCTCAAACTGAGTCCACAGGAAAGAGCTACTTGGTGAGTGTGGTTTGGTGAGCACAACCCACCAGCTCAACCCCCTGCACTCATGCTCTGTCCTGGGGCAATGGCACCTGGCCATTTCCAGTAAGCTCAGCATCCTTTCCCTGACTGCTTCTGGGAACTCCCCACTGAATCACTCAACTCTCTGCAGATGTACATGCACTTCCTACTGCTTCTCTCTGGAAAAAACAATCTGTGTGCACACTCTTACAGCATGTGATGTATGCTGGCAATGCCGGTCAGGCAGGTATCAGCAAGGCAGAAATATATTTCCAGGAACACTGCAATCTTCAGGTCTGTCCCTTTTTGCTGTCGTATTGGAAACTGGAAGCACACTAAACCTTCAGAGGGAGGTGGTAAATGAGCAAAAAATATACTGTTAGTATACGTCTATTCCTGCAGGAGCCACGAGCTTGTATTACTGTTATATTCTGAAGACAGAGCCACATATATGATAACCACAGTGAGAACAATTGCAGCTGACCTCTTTCTCCACAACATCCAGGAAGAGGGAGAGCAGGAGTTGGATTCAGAGTGAAGAGCACTCCCCACACCACGCAGCCTTGCCCTACTGTACATACTGACTTCACTGAAGAGTATTCCCAATAGCTGGATCAGAGCACATCATGCAGGAAAACACCCTTTCTTGCTGCAACAAAGTGGGAAGGTAAGATGTCAGTGGATTCCTTACTGCGAGGTTGGTTTTGGCAGGTTTCATGTTATTTGATCATGTTTCACCTTCACTAGCAAGGCTCAAAAGCATGTCCACTTCCCCTTGGTCAGTTCTCTTCAGAGTGGAATCACCCACTCACAGTGATTAAATAATTTCACAGCCTGCTGTCTGACAAGCAAAAGGAATCCTAGTCTTCAATCCCAAATCTCATTTTCCAAATACATCCCCACTTCACTGATCCTCCTTTACACCTTCCAGTGTCTTTACATCCTCTTGCTGCCCTAGCATGACCTATTCTGGTATCAAATGCAAGATTGCTTTCCTGAATGCGTGCCACTCCACTCTCCATCCCTCTGTGAAGGAGCTAGACTTTTCTTGTCACCCCATTGCATAGAAAGCATTTCTAGACATTGCTGGCCCACTTCCCAGAGCAGTCTCCCATCCTGTAGTCAGACCCGGGGTTTGCTTGAGATGGAGAGCTTGCAGCCATGCCAGGCTTTCCAGGTAGCATTTGCCAGAACATATGTAGTTTAAGCGAACAGAAATGTAAAGAACAGGCTGACTATCCCCACCCCTTGCTAGCCAAGTTCTGCACATGTTCCCCAGTGAAATTCCCAAACGAGGTCAAGGCATTTAACTCATCATCATCATCATCATCATCATCATCATCATCATCATCATCATCATCACAGTGTTCCCTCCCAGACCAAAGAGTGTCCAGATAGATGACAAACACTCTGTCTAGGTAATATGGATGACCAAAATCTGCCACTGCAGCACAGCTGCTGTGGACTGGAACACAGCTGTTTTCCCAAGCCAGGAGTGTTACACAACCATTGCCTAGAAAGGAGGAAATCAACAAAACTTCTCTGGTATTAAATCGTAGCAGAAAATTAAGTAAGTAAAGAGTGGGCTTGGCCAATGACACTCAGACTCCAACAGCTGGGAATGGGAGATCCTGGTGGTTCTAGTGGCCACAAGCCACCAGAAAATTAAAAGTAGCTTTCTACTTGGAAGGCTGGAGGCCAACAACACCATGGCCTCTACCAGCACTGAATTAGTCCTAGCTTGACCCAACCTGACAGCACTTCCTGCAACATCTGGATATTCTTTGGATGTCTCTGCCAAGTTGCAGCTTGTTCCAAGTCTGCTGAGTTCATGCGACCTGAAAACAGACATCTGCCTGGGAACTGGCAGCATCCAAGGCAAGAACTGTGCTGAGAGCTTCGTTATCCCTTTGCCAGCAATCATGTGGGCATCTGCACAGCCCGGGCATGGGTTGCTGGGGATGGTTCAGACTTCACTGGTAACAGCATCCCCACTGCTGTGTGGCCATGGCAAGGCTGCTCAGGGACAGCCAGGTCCTGTCCCCATCCCTGACAGCTCTGCCCAGGGGGGTGGCACGCGCAGAGCAGCCTGCCTCCAAGCAGGCTCCAACAGGATCCGCTGGCAGGGAGGGATTTGCCCTCGGTTACACAAGCTAATGGTGCAGGATGGTGAGTCACGGCACCTGGGAGGGCAGCTGAGTGAACAAGGCTTCCTGAGAGAGAGACGCCTCTGCCTCTCCAAACCCATTCCCTACAATGCCTTGGGCTAAGCTTGCCCACAGGCACTAAACTCCAGAAGAATATTCCTCCTCTCTTGTGCAGCCTTCCACCCAGGCAGGGTGCTTTTCTACGCATCCACCTAAAAATTTTGATGCCCCATGGCTCTCAGGGCATATGCACTGTAACAAAACAGCAGATCCGGTTTGAAAGAAAAGCCATCCTCTGTCAGGAAGGTCCTACAGGATGCAAGGATGCATAAGGACACGAGCAAATGCCGCAGTCCTTAGAGATGCCCCCAGCGGTGGGTCATGAGCTGATTGGGGTGTCCAGGCTGGAGATGGCACGGTGTGTGACGGGCATTGCAGGTGTTTCCTCAGCAGCACAGCTGCCTGGGCTGAGCTGAATTTTTGAAGAAGCAAGCAAAGCCCTGGTGCAGTGTTTCTGTGCACGTGGAGGGTGTGCCCTGGAGCCAGAGTGTCTGGGACAGCCGCGGTCAGAGGAAGCTGCCGCTGCTGCTCGCGGAGGAGGAAGTCGGCGTCCCCAGGCTGGAGGCACAGCCAGTGCTGGTTTTTGCTGGAGAGCAGGGGAGGTGGCGGGGGGGAGTTGGAGAAGGGAGTCCAGCCTAAGAAAAGAGCACGGAAGGAAGAGGCTTGCAAAGTGCACTGCTGATGCAGACGCGGAGGAGAGGGCTGGGAAAGGCGCTTGTCCCTACAGAGAGGAGCACGCAGCTTTTGTTAGATGTGGGAGAAAGGGCTGAGGTTTTGAGATGGAGGCAATGGAAGGAGCAGGGGCATGCCAGGCAGACATAGTTGGGTGAGGTGGAGAACTGCTTCCAAGTGGAAAATAATTTAGGAAATGATGGCTGGAACTAGAGAGTGAAAACCATGTAGACTAGGAGATACAGAAAATGTTATTAATGACCAAAAATCATCATTCAGAACTGCCATAAAAGCCCAGGCTGAAATGTGTGTGAAATGAGAGGCATCCTGGAGCAACCAAGGTGAATAAAAAACA